CATAAAATGCTCTGTCCTCCTTGGGGAAGGCTTTGCCCAGGCTGTTCCTTCTGCCTGGAGTGCCCTCCCCACTTGCTTAGCTGCTCTCTAGCTGATTCTTCCTCATGCTTTTGGCCAAACCTGAAATGATACTTCCTCCATCATGGGTTCGATGGCTTTACTAGACTTTCACAGCCACCCTCCACCCAGGCTCCCCTGAAGGCCACCTCCCTTCCACAACATCAGGACACTATGCCCTGTTCATCTTTGCACCCACAGAGCGCAGCAAAGAACCTTGTACACATTAGGTGCTCCATAAATGCTCACTGAATGAATGAACAAAAGTTCCTCAAGTCTCAGGAATTCCAGAGTATTTCCTGCTGGTGCCCCATGGTTAGGGCCACAGCAGCCTTGGTCATTACTGCTGTGGCCCAAACTGGACATCTCTGTCTCCCTCCCCCACTGCAGCCACTGGCCCTACCCTGGTGACCTTCACCCTCAACTTCACCATCACCAACCTGCACTACAGGGAGCACATGCAGCCGCCAGGATCTGCCAAGTTCAACACCACAGAGAAGGTCCTGCAGGGCCTGGTGAGAGCTCCGCCCACATCGCCCACCCCGCCCACTTTTCCAAGCCCCGCCCACTCATGTAGCTCCACCCACCAATGACCACCTTGCCCCTGTCTCTCACTCATTTCCTCTCCTCCCTCCTCTGCAGCTTGATCCCCTGTTCAGTAACACCAATGTGGGCCCGCGGTACTCTGGCTGCAGACTGACCTCGCTCAGGTGAGATGGGAATAGCCAGCCAGGCCTGCCCCATGCTGAACAGGACTGAACAGTGTGGTTGCTTCCTTCCTGCCCTCCCGATGCCTGTCCCCAGCAGAGGTGGGATTCAGGAGGCACTGGCTCCAGGCTCAAGGTGTCTCCCAATCCTACCACCTCCCCCATGCACTGTCTTCAAATTTGCAGAGTCCGGTAGCAGGATCTGACTCTACCGCTAATCATCCTTCTGAGTTCCCTCCATTCCTTAAAACAAGAAGAGCATTTCCTTCAGGTTTTAAATTCTGTTCCCGGATGTTCTCACAAGTCAAATGTGCCATCACCTCTTGCCTTAATCCCAGTGGCATCTCTGCACTTGTCTAAAGTCTGAGTTCTCCTGTCTCGATGCCCTGATGATGCAGGGTTGGGTCTACCAACTCTATTAGAGTTCTTGGATCTATGTCTCACCTCACAAGCCCAGGCTGCCTGCAAGTCTGTGCACTCAGTGGGTCTAAGTCCTGCGTCTCCCCTCTCCACGAGACATCTCATTTCCCCAGGCCCTTTCTGTCCTGGCCCCATGAGTCTCAGCACCCC